GCTACTTGGGAGGCTGAATCATGGGAATCACTTGAACCCGGGAGGTAAAGGTTGCAGTGAGTTGAAATTGCATCACTGTACTCCAGTCTGGGCTGGGCGACAGAGTGAGACTCTGTCCCCACTTCTCTCCAACCCCCCCAAAAGAACCTGGCACATAGAGAGCTCCTAAGCATCTCTTTCTTTTTGATGCACCTTATGGGGATTCAGCACCAGTTTGTTTTCTTAGGAAGATTACATGTTCCAGAGCAATTTTGTCACTGCTGTGAATTAAGAAAAGTGTTCAGGGGATTTGAAGGGCTAAACTCTAGCTCAACCCTCCTGAGATGGTAGGTTCCAATTCATGACATTATATTGTGCTGGTTTCTGTTCTATCAATCTCCGTCTCCTCTCCTTCAAATGATCTATTTTTGTTTGAAGACCAACCCAGATCCTTTATTTAGGCTGAGTAGATTTAACTGAACAGTGAAAAAGGTCCCTCAGGAACCAGAAACAAACCATGCTTGAGAACAGATGGGGTGACCTGTTTATGGAGTGTCTACTGGGTGAAGACCATTGGGAAAAATACGAAGAAGAAGGATTTCACAGTCAGTCTCCATCCTGCAAGACTTCTGCAGTACAGTTAGGGGAGATACGAGAAGCACAAGAAGAAAATATTAAAAGGGCGTCGGAAAAATTTATAATTTATAATTTATAATTTATGGGAACATAACTGTGTGGACCAGTGTTTCGTAACCTTTTCTTTTTAAAATCCATGTCTCCTTTTGATAAATATAACAATATCATGCTCGTGTTTGAATGTTGTGTAAAGTTTTAAAATACATTATTATAACCAAAAGGAAGTCCAAGCAATTGTAATATTAGCTATACTGTTTTCAAACCATATGTACCCCTCTTCACTGTGAAGTTCTGAAATGCCACATTTGGGAAGCTTGCAACCCCTGACTCTGCGCCACGTTGGAGTAGCCTATGTGCTTAGGTACTGAGTAAACCTAGGAATGTTGGTATCAGAGACTAAGCAGTACTAAGACCTTAATGGGGCTGGGTGTGGTGGCTCACGCTTGTAATCCCAGCACTTTGGGAAGCTGAGGTGGGTGAATCACGAGGTCAGAAGTTCGAGACCAGCCTGGCCAACATGGTGAAACCCTGCCTCTACTAAAAATACAAAAATTTAGCTGGGTGTGGTGGCGGGTGCCTGTAATCCTAGCTACTGGGGAGGCTGAGGCAGGAGGATTGCTTGAACCCGGGAGGTGGAGGTTGCATTGAGCTGAGATCGCACCACTACACTCCCTCCTGGGCGACAGTGCGGGACTCTGTCACAAACAAACAAACACTTTAATGGTAAAGCTAAGTTTTAGCTGAGCTTGATGAGGAAGGATGTATTTGTCTGAGTTTGGAGAGGAGATTTGAGATGTAGGATATAAATCTGCATAAAGAAGGGAACCACATTTGTATGAGGGACAGCCAGAAAACCTGGGGATATGGGAGGTGGAGGAAGAAATGTCCCAGACAGGGAAGCTCCACGACTTTTGGATCAGGTGGATTTAAGTTGGAATTCCGGTCATGCCCCTCACTGGCTGTGTTACCTTTTTAACACAGTCATTTTAATTACTCTGTTTCCATTTTCTTATCTGTAAGGATGGGATGATATCTCTCAGAATCATGCCATATAAAAGAGGTAAAGAATGCCTAGCCTAGCATGGTGCCTGGGGCAGAGCCTATATTGGGCAATGGTCTTTCAACACCGGCTACTTCTTCAGAGAACTCTACTGCCCTCAGTGGACCAGTCATCTCAGGTTTGAGCAGAAGAGCGTTGAAGCATGCGGATGCTGTTGAAATAAACTCCAACACCTTTGGGCCTGCTTTCTGTCCACGCCATCTGTGCAACTGGGGCGCTGCCAGACTTCAGGAGTTTGAGGGAGGGACTGGAGTTTCTTGGGAGACTCCGTAGCCAACCCATTTTGATGCTTCTGTGGTTCTGTTGAAGAGGGAGCTTGACAAACGGGACAAAGAGGGCTGTATTTCTTCCAAAGGAAGCTGTGCGTGGAAGATGGGCCAGTGGATGTACGGCTATCAGCTTGACTCTCGCTGTGGGCGGTGTTTGGACTTTCGTGAGGATTGGTTGGGACTTAGGCCTCAAGAGGCTGCACAGGATGAGTCTAATGAACAACATGAATGGAGGCCCATCCCTGGGTAGCCCCATCTCGGGTTTCTGTCCCTGCAAAATTCTCTAGGCAAGGCAAACACAAGCACTCCTTTAAACAGTCGCTGGGGCAACTCCAGGTCAAAGGCAAGATGAGCCTGAGGGTGCTTTTGTGTATCTTCTCTTACTTCTATCACGATTCTAAGAACAGTTTCACAGTCTTCTTGCTTCTTTGGCCCTGGAAACAGAGCTAAGGCAGCTATAAGTGATGCCTAAAGGGCATGGGGCTTGAGGTCAGAAAACTTGCAAGCTACCAGCTGTGTGACCTTGGGCGAGACACTCTACCTTTCAAGGACCACGGGACATCGTAATAGAGAAGGCATGAGAACTCCTGTCTTTTTTTTTTTTTTTTTTTTTGAGATGGAGTCTAGCACTGTTGCCCGGGCTGGAATTTAGTGGCGCAACCTGGGCTTACTGCAACCTCCACCTCCTGGGTTCAAACAATTCTCTGGCCGAGTAGCTGAGATTACAGGCGCCCACTACCATGCCCAGCTAATTTTTGCATTTTTTTTTTTTTTTAGTAGAGATGGGGTTTCACTATGTTGGCCAGACTGGTCTTAAACTCCTGACTTCGTGATCCACCTGCCTCGGCCTCCCAAAGTGCTGGAATTATAGGCGTGAGCCACTGCGCCAGGCCGAGAACTGCCATCGTTTACATCTTGTGTCATCCCAGGCATGTAAAAATCTCTGCCTTCTGTTTCTGACCTTCTCTTGGGTCCCATAAATGTAGAATCGGATGGGCTTTCTCTTAGTGAGACCCCAAAATGGCATTCTTGGGCTTGACCTAACTTAGCAAAGTGAGAACAAGTCAGCTGTGAGGCTTGCCACATATCTCTCCTGACTGCCGGAAGGAGGTGACGGTAGAGGTGGCTCTGAGGTCAGAGAGTGGCGAACTCCAGGTAGCCTCCTGGGTGCTGGGGAGCCCTGGCCAGTTCAGAACTCACTGAGGGTGGAAGGAACCCAATTCAGTTTCATGGGGCATTATAGCTGTGTGTGTGTGTTCCATTGGTGATTAGATTCTAGTGAGAAGAGTGGAATTGAAACTGAAATGGGCATGCTATAGGCAAAAGAGGGAAAATAGCAGAGAAAGAGGAGGGAGAGAGTGGGAAATAGCTCTAAAATGTGGCCTGGGGTGGGAACATGGGTGAATAAATGTGAAATGCATTTCTCAAAATAGAGACAAAGTTTAAGACCAAAGGAGGAAAGGAGCTTCAGCTAGCTTGTTCCAGCCCCGACAGCCCCTTCCTTTCCTCAGTCTGGCTCCTGCTCCGCTTGTAGCCCCCTCCCCATCTGGCTCCACACTGGGGAAGGGGAGACGTCTCTGGAGCCCGGTGGCTCATTCATCTCCTGATAAACTGTTTATCTGAGTTTTAACGAGGGCGCCTCTCTCCAGCCCTGGAGACAGAAGCCTCGGCATGTTTAGCCTGCCCTGATGTGGGGGGCCTTAGGGTGGGTGGGGGCGACGCCAGCAGGCATATCTTCTCCCCTTTCCTGCCCTCAGCTCTCCTGGGCTTCACGTTGCGTTTCCTTGACTGAAGTCTGGGTCTAGGATGGACCCAACATTTTCCTATGGAAAAGAAATCTTTGTACAGTTTCTCTCTCCAGCCACTGCTTTACACACACACACACACACACACACACCTATGCAGACACACACATTCTCTTTTACCATTTGTGATCCAATATTTCAAAAGGGAAATGAATGGCATACTATAGATACAGCATTGCTAGTGTGGGACAAGAACCTCCAAAATGTTGGAGGGGAACGCTATGATGTGGAAAGATAACTGTCATCAAATACAAACTCAAACTAAATGCTGTAGGTCTTGCTTCCGACTCCCCACAGGCACACACTTTTCAGATACAGATGCAGTTATTGAAGAGCCCCGATACATATGTCGTTAAACACACAAGTGCATATGCACACACATGCATATACACACATACCACATACAGTCATGCACTGCTCCCCAACAACACACCACACATACCACACACACACCACTCACACATATACACACACATACACCCACACACCACACTACACATACATCACACACACACACCACACAAAACCCCCACACACCATACACTACGCACACACATCACATACCACACACACACACACATCCCACCACACACCACACACACCACACCACACATACATCACATACACACACCACACACCACACATGCACGCCACACACACACACACCACACACACACCACACACACACCACATACACACACCACACCACACACACAT